CATACTCCTTCCCTTTGATATCTTTACTGCGAAATACTGTACATACTTGTGGCTTGAGAAATGGAAATCAGAAAATAACTTCCTGGATTTGGTATAGGTTGTATACAGGGCTTGATCCCAGTAAGAATCCCAGTCCCTGACCCTCAGCTCAGCACAGCATTTGGAAGATGGGAGCATCCACCCCACTCCAACATTTTGGATCGGACTTTCTACTTCAAGTGGAAAGTGGCTGGGGCAAACATCAGCTACTGGGGTAAACACATTTATTCAAAGCTAACCTCTCTCACTCTTCTGGCAAGGATGAGACCTGGCATGACAAACTGAAACCTAAGGCCATTTGTGTGCGACACAATCACTTTCCCATCATCCCATTATTGGCCTGGGACAGAGACATGTGTCAATCAAACAGCAGATAACAAAAACAGTCCTGTAGCTTTCTTCTACTTTGTTTTTTTGCATTAGAATTTATTATATCTTTTTTTTTTTTGGCAGATGATGTCCCTTTCCCAGGGACTATACGTTTGCTGAAGTTTATCTTTTTTTTTTTTTTTTAAGATTTTGTTTATTTATTTGACAGAGAGAGACACAGCGAGAGAGGGAATCCAAGCAGGGGGAGTGGGAGAGGGAGAAGCAGGCTTCCCGCGGAGCAGGAGCCCAATGTGAGGCTTGATCCCAGGACCCTGGGATCATGACCTGAGCCAAAGGCAGACGCTTAACAGGACTAAGCCACCCAGGCGCCCCTGAAGTTTATCTTAATTTAAAAAGAGAGTTTGCATTTCCTAAGCACAAACCAACAGACAAAGCACTGGGAGGAGGGCAGATCTGTGAGGGGGGCCTGAGGGGATAGAGAGGAGCCCAGGAGCCAGGGTGCCCTCCAAGGTGGACCCCCCTCCCCTGCATGCTGACATGGTGAGTGGTTGCACTGGAGGCAGGTAGGAGCAGAGAATAGAAAGGTGGGGAGAAATAACAGAGAGTTGGAGATAGATACCTGGTGTGGGAGGGGGGAGGAGAATCTTGGAGAGGAAATTTGAAGAAAGGGAGGCAGAAGGTCCAAGAGACAGAGATAGGGGACCAATCTGTCCCAGTTGGCCAGGGATGGCTCCGATTTTGACACTGAAAGTCCAGCAACCCAGGAAACCTCTCTGTCTGGCATATTTCGTCATCCCCTTTTTTCTGTTTCCTTTAGGGAAATCTTCTCCTATAATATGTGGTCTTGGTGGGGCTGTCAGTCATAACGCCCTTCTCTTCCCAACTCCTCAGAGCTGGGCATGTGCCACAGACTGGGCCAATTATAGTACCCTATTCTTCAGATACTGATTGGTTCCGGAGTGGACATGAATCAAAACCCTGGACTTTTCTGCTGGATCTAGTAGGGAAGGCTGTCTCTCTCCCTTTAGAATCTATAAAGTATAAGCTTGGGTCAGCTGGCTACATCTTCTTAGCAGGCAGAGAAATCCTGTCTGCTGCAGGAAAGGAGAGCAGAGTGAAGCAAAACTAAGAGAAGACTAAGAGAAAACTAAGAGAAAAAAGATGAGAGTTTCACTGGAGATTCTTGATCCAGCCATACCTGCAGCACTTCCTGTTTATATCAGCTCGTACACTGCCTGTTCTGCTTGAGTCAGTTTGTGTAGAGTTTCTGTTCCTTGCAACTGAAAGAATCCTCACCAAACAGTCTTTTTATCTATAAAAGTGAATAAAATTCCTTGCAGGGCTCTTGTGAGCATTAAATTAGATTGTAAGTGTGAAAGGGATTTCAAAATTGGTAAAACACCATGTACCCCTCATAAATCGCTGGTAGGAATGTAAAAATGGTGCAGCCACAGTGGAAACAGGTGGTTAGGGGCACCTGGGTGGCTCATTCAGTGAAGTGTCTGCCTTCGCCTCAGGTCATGATCCTAGGGTCCTGGGATTGAGCCCTGCGTTGGGCTCCCTGCTCAGGGGGGATCCTGCTTCTCCCTCTCCCTCTGTCTCTCCCCCTGCTTGTGCATACTCTCTCTCTCTCAAATAAATAAATAAATAAATAAATAAATAAAATCTTTAAAAAAAAGAAACAGGTGGTTAGTTCTTCCAATAATTAAGCATAGAGTTACCGTACTACTCAGAATTCCACTCCTAGTTATACACCCAAGAGAATTGAAAACATATGTTCACACAAAAACTTGTACACAAATGCTCGTAGCAGCCTCATTCATAATAGCCAAAAAGTGGAAACAAGCAAATATCTATCACCTGATGAGTGGATAAATAAAATGCAGTATATCCACGCAACAGAATGTTATTTAGCAATAAAAAGGAGTGAGGTACTGATCCTTGCTACAAGAGGGAGGAACCTCAGATACATTACACTAAATGATAGAAGCCAGACACAAAATACTATGTACTGTATGATTCCATTTACAGGAAATGTCTAGAATAGACAAATCCATCCAGACAAAAAGTAGATCTGTGGTTTCCAAGGACTTGGGTAAGGGAATGGGGAGTAGTTGCTAATGACTACAGAGTTTCTTCGGGGGTGGGTCATGACAATGAAATTAGTGGTAATAGTTGCACAACCTTGCGAATAAACTAAAACTTGCTGAATTGCAGAGCAAATTTTATGGTATGTGAATTGTCTCAAGAAAAATAAATATGCTACATACATGTGAAGGATTAGTATTATTATTATCATTGCTCAACTCAAATCCCATCTTCCATAAAGCCCTTCGTCCATTCTCTGAGCTTCTCCAGACTGAATCTGGATCATGCATTTGTCACCCATATGCTGCTGCCCTGTGTGATTTTGACAATGTTTAATAATCATTAAATAATACATTATTAAAATGAGTGATTAAATAGTAAATAATGATCACATCAATAAATATGAGGTTATGTCTTGTCTTCTCAGCTCCATCCCTCGCTCCTCCAGCGTGGACTCCTCTAGTGTGTTTTGCACGCTGAAAGAGGGAAGGCACACCTCTCCCCCTCCCCACCCTGCCAGATTACGCAAAGGCACACATATTCTATTCAGGACTCCCATGCCCTTGATGAGGACAATGGGAGCTAATGACGGGCAGAATAGCAGAATTGTTCTGCGGCACCCATCGCATGGAGCCCCTTCATCAAATAGTGTTGGGTCTTCACAGGTACTTCGGGCAAGCCCCATTTACGTGGAGTTTGAGAACCAGCAGAGAAAGCCTGAATTTGTGTGCGGCAAGGAAGTGGTTTGCAGCTCACTGAATAACTGTTACCAGTTAGGATGCTCTGGGTTCAAAGCATCCTGACTCAAACCCGCTTAAACAACGAAGGGGACTCATTGGTCATAGGACTGGGAAGTCCGCAGGGGAGCAGGCTGAGGGGATAGCTTGATTCAGGGGCTCAACAAGACCCTCCTGGACTTGGGTGCTCCATTCTGCCATCCAGCATCTGTCTGCCTCACCCCGAGACCAGATTTCCCTTCCCCACCCCACCCCCTGTGAGCTTCTGGGCCTACATGATTCTTTGTCTCAGCCTGGGAGGGGACGTGGGAGTAGGAGAAGGGAGGAGCGAGTTAGTTAGTTCATCATTCCTTCCTTCCTTCATTCTAGGGGCCCTTTTAGAAGAGCAAGAAAGCTTGTTTCCTAGAAAACCTTCCTTTGTCACATTTCCCTTTCTTAAACTATAGACAGAGGATAGCAATACACCGATTCATTTCAGCCTTAAACCACATGCCTCCCCCAACATACACACATACACCTCCCAGAGACAGAATCAGCTTTTCCCCAAAGTCTGTGGCTGAGTGGGAGAGGTGAGGTTACCAAAATAAAAACCAGGATGGCTAGAGAAGAGAGCAATGTTGGCACAACACCCATTGCTATACTTGCATGCACCTGGGCCTTCTCAAAACCCACCTCGTCCTCCAGGACCCAGCCTGAATGGCAAGCCCTCTGGGAAGCCCTTGCAGTCCCTCCCAGACAAGAAATTCTACCCTCTGTGCAACACCCCCACCCCCTGCATCAACCTGTGCTCATCCACCTATTCATCCATCCATCCACCCACTTTCTATGTTCCTGGGTGCTGAGGGCTGAGTCCTCAGTCGTGAACCAAACAGGGATTTCTACCTTAATGGGGTTTTCAGTCTGGACAAGGAGAGAAAAGTTCAATGATTATACCAACTAATGTATAGTTTCTCTACTAATAAGTACAATGAAGGAGAGAGAGAGAGAGAGAGAATGAGCATGTACCCCGGTGCAGATATGGGTTTGGGAGGTGGTGGGAAGGCTTTTCTGACAAAGTGATGAGGGGTGCCTGCTCTAGCTTTCACCATCTGGTTCATCCCACCCTCTGCCTCAGCTCTGTCCCTTGCTGGGTGGGCCAGCCTCCACACTCACCAGGGTTGGGGTCCAGGTCCTCATTTAAAGTTTGTGCAACAAATGTGCATGGGATTTAATTGTCCGGGGTTAGAACTACTGGGAAGGTGGCTGCGTTCCAAAGAAGAGCTTCACTGTTGTAGAAGTGGGCACCTGATCCTCCTGGTTGCGTTGGGGTGCCTCAGGTAGGAAGGGCAGACAGAGTGCAGTTGGAGCAGGGAGCTGCATTTATTGCAAGGTCAGAAGAAGCACCGGGGCCTTTACATTCCAGGCTCACCGGGGCGGCCCGGCAGGGGGACGTTTCAGAATTGACGTTTGAGGGACATCCGCTCCCCTGGGCCAAGGGAGATCTGAGGCGTGGCCCGGTGTCCCCGGGTGACCTGAGATATCCCTCGGAGATTTGTGAAGCTCTTCCCTCTGGGAAATGGGGAATATAAGCCACTGTTCCTGCAGCGGCGTGGAATTTGGTGGCGGAGTGCGGAGGGAGGCGCCGCCCCAGGTCTCCGAGGCAGAGGTGGGGGGGCGGGCGCGGGGCGGGGGGGGGGGGCGCGGACGGCGCGGGGGCGCGGCACGCCGCCTGCCCAGGTGGCAGAGGGGCCGAGACTGGCCCGGAGCCCGGCGCGAGCGTGTCCGCGCGCCCCTCCCCGCCGCCCGAGCCCTCCCACTTCCTCTGCAGGAGCGGCGGCTGTCAGGGAGCCGGGCGCGCGGCGCGCAGAGCAGGCTCGGGGCGCCCGCGAGGACGCTGCCGCTCGGGCTCGCTGCCCCGCCGCCCCGCACCCGGGCCCCGCCGCCGCGCCGCGCGCCATGGACCTGCCCAGGGGCCTCCTGGTGGCCTGGGCGCTCAGCTTGTGGCCAGGTACGTGCCCCTTGCCTCCGCGTGCCCGTGGGAGCCCCTCTCAGGGTCGGAGCTTGGCCGCTGCGGGGGGACGGGGGTCCCCCTGGAAGTGGCTGCAGTCTAGCCGCTCCGCCAAGCTCCGCAAAAGAGGGAGGCGCGCCCGGGCGACTTGGAGCCGGGAGTTTGGTGTGTGGCGAAGAGTTGGGGAAGAGTTGGGGAGCAGCTGGGGAAGAGCTGAAGAGGAGCGCGGAGGGCCCGCGGCCCCGCCGGACACGCTGGCCACGGCAGGCGCCCCGCCGGGGACACTCGGGCGTCCCGGGAGCGCGGAGGGCGCGTGGCCCGGGCTGGGGGGGGACGCGACGCGCGGAGCAAGCGCCGCCTCGGGCGCCCTCCTGCCTGCGGAGGGAGCCGCCTCGAGTTCGGGGAGCGGGACACGGAGGCCGCCGCGAGCTGCGCAGAATCCCTCGGGCCGGGGACGGACGAAGCCCCAGGGCGGCGGCCCCTAGGCGGTGGCGAGCTGTAGCCGGCCGGGCCAAGGGCGATGGGCGCAGCTCCGCAGCCAGGGCCTCCCTCTTGCCTGATGCTTGGGGTAGGGACGGGGCAACCCGCGCTTGGAATTATGCAGTTATTCAACAATCTGGGGAAGCAGCCGTCGCCGACACGCGCGCCGCCCGCCTAATGCAATCCAGGTGTCGGGGCGCGCCGGGGACCTCGGTCCGGCGGGGCGCACGACCGGCAGCCAGAGACCAACCCCAGGCGGTCCGCACTGGGGCAACCAGCGAGGGCTTCTGCACTCCTGGCGCCCCGGCCCGACCCGTACCTGTAGCGCGGGGCGGCGGCCAGCGGCGCCGTTCTACCGGCAGCGACCGCTTTCGGGGCCTCTCCTTTGCGGGGCCGAGTGCCCCGGCGGGGACCAGAGCCCCGGCCTCGCCTCCCCTTCCGCATGGGTTCCAGGCTGGGGCCTGGGGCCGGTACCGGGGATCAGATGTGGAGACAGCGGGAGAGGAGCCTTCAGGAAGCACAGGTGCAGACCCCCCCAGCCCGGGCTCTCTCACCCCCGTCCGAGGTTACCTCGAAAACAAGTGCACATCCTCCCCTCCCCCCGGACTATAGCAGAGCTTCTGGGAGGGCCTGTAGTTGAAACAGTCTCTGGCTGATGGAGTTCAGTCCAGATCCTAGAGCCGCAAAATAAACATTAACGCTTTAAGTTGTTGGGGGAGGGGGTGTCAGGGAGGACGAAGGAAGAGCTGCCACCCGGCAAGCATTCATCTAGAAACCAGCTGTAGGAGGTGAAGCCCACTCTCGGTCACTTAGACAGGAGGGAAGACAACTCCAGGAACTGTCTTCAGATCACAAGGAGATCCAGCCGTAGGAGAAGGGAATGCGCCCCTGTGTGACTCCAGATAGGCAGACCCATCCCACCGGACCCTGAGATGGAGTGGCTAGAGTCAGTCTGGACCTCAGGAAGCTGAGAGGGAAGTCTTTGAAATCAGAACCTGGCTTCCATTCTGGCTCTGCTGCCCACTAGCTGCACAACCTTGGGTACATTATGCAATCTCTCCACAAGTTTCCTTCTCTGTGGAATGGAGATGGAAATTCAGGCTGAGTTCATAAGGTTCCCCAGACAATTAAGTGAGGCACTGTCAGAAAAGTCCTTAACTCAGGGCTTGGTGCACAGCAGACAGAAGCAATCGTTGTTAGTGTTGTTACTCAAGCAGGAATGGGGGTGGGGGGTGTGTGCGCTAGGGGAGTGGGGTGAAGGACGGGGGACAGGATTTGTGACTCAGAATTCCCTTTATATGGAGAAAACCACTGTTGAGTTATGTCTGGTCAGTTTGGGTTCTTAAAATATGGGATTCATTAAACATATCAATCAATGTTGGAACGACATCTGCTTGCAAGGAACTGGGGGGTGGGGACCAACTATGTGTGCAGTCTAGGCCCTGCCTGGAGCTGGGAATAAGGCAAGGCCAGGGAAAGCTAAGTAGAAGGATTAGGGAGTGAACGGCACAGAGAAGCTAAGGGCTGTGGTTCAAACAAGAAGTTCAGTTTCACTTGGATTAGCAAGGGAGGCTTCCTGAAGGAGGAGGTATCATTTCAACAGGGTCTTGAAGGAGTGTGGAGAGGCTTGTAAGTTAGAGTGTTATTTCCTGGGACTTTTTAAAGAACAAAAAGGTGGATATTTTAAAACCACAAGGGTGACCGTAGTTTGGACTCTGAAAATTGGAAAGGTCGCGGGGTCAATGAATTCATTCCCCTGGCTCTGGAGCAAGACTGATAATCAATCTCCCAACAGTGCATCACATGGATTCAATGTGAGGATTACCAGGAAGCGTGCCTGCCGGTGACGGCACAGTTTGGCTGAGCAGGGGGACAGGGGACCTATCACAGGCCAAGTTGGGAGGCAGTCCGCATTGAAGCCATTATGAGTTCAGAGCCTCTGTCTCGCCAGAGCTTCTGCTACAAGCTGGGCAGGGTGATGGGTGGGCAAAGCTATCAAGAAACCAAGAAAAAAGAAAAAAGAAATAGACAAGGCCAAAGACTTTCAGAGCTGACATCCAGAGAAAGTAGATCCATTGATAAGTTTCTATCATTAACACATCGGTAGTAAGGGTTGATGCGTGAGGATTCTTTTGTTTTTAAAGAATTATTTATTTATTTTAGAGAGAGTGTGTGTGTCGTGTGAAAGTGGTGGGGAGGGGCAGAGGGAGAGGAGGAGGGGAAGCAGACTTCCTGCTGAGCACAGAGCACCACATGGGGCTGGATCTCAGGACCCTGAGATGATGACCTGAGCCAAAACCAAGAATGCGATGCTTCAGCGATGGAGCCACCCAGGTGCCCGGATGACTGATGATTCTTTTTTTTTTTTTTTAAGATTTTATTTATTTATTTGACAGAGAGAGACACAGCGAAAGAGGGAACACAAGCAGGGCGAGTGGGAGAGGAAGAAGCAGGCTTCCCACTAGGAAGGGAGCTCAATGCGGGGCTCAATCCCAGGACCCTGGGATCATGACCTGAGCTGAAGGCAGACACTTAATGACTGAGACACCCAGGTGCCCCGAGTAATGATTCTTTTAAAACCTTAGTCTTTACTGAGCACTTGTTATCTGCCAGGCTCCATAAAGGCACACAGGGAGATCAGGCACAGTGTGGGGGTGAAGGCCCTGGGGTCTCCACTGCCTGGACTGGGTGTGGGCTCTGCCAGTTAGGACTCTGTGCTCTTGGCAAACTACTAAGTGGTTCTGTACCTCAGCTTTCTCACCTGCAAAATGGGGATGAAAATAATAGAACTTACAGAGTTATCCAAAGTTTATCCAAATGAGTAAGTGTACATAAACTGCTTGGAAAGTTCCAGCACATATTATGCATTCAAGGAGGTTGTCTCTCTTCTCCATCATCAGCAGAAACATCAGCACTCAAGATACTGACCATTCAGTAAGAGATGTGAGGATGCACGGAGATGTAAACTGTCAAACCCAAGTCCCTAAGAGAAGTGTAAAGGAAGGGCTGGGGTTCTGGAGGCTCACAGGGGGCATACAAGGCCCCAGTAAACCCAAACTTTCCCAGCTCCTCTCCCAAAGACTTGGCCCAAAGTCTTGATCGTCACGGGCGTTCAGGGATGTTTTTTGCCATGGAGGCTGTCATGAAGTAGATGTGATCTTAGTGTGAGTGCCTTGTGGCATTTTGTGGAGCAGAGAAGAGCCACGCCATGCAGCATGGCCCTCATGTGTCCCTGTGAGTGGGAGTCTTGTTCAGCAGGAAAACTGTGTCTGGAAAAAGCACAGGACTAGGCAGCCAGAGTGTGCAAAGACTAAAAAGACCCAAGCCCTGCTCTCCAGCTTTGGAAGAGCAGAGAAAGAGATGAAACTTGTCCCACCCTGCTGGGAGCTTGTCAGCCAAGCCTCTCCACTACCATCATCAGCTGAGGAGCTTCTGGACCCTTCCACATGGAAGCCTTTCCACATAGAGCCCTGAAGGGATAGGAGTGGAGTCTCACCTTCTTTCTATTTATATACCGTAGCCCATCCACCCCACTCTGGACCCCCAGAGATGGGCTGTCTATCTCCTGGCCATTCTCCTTGTCCTCGCCCACCCACACAGGGCTGTGGGCCTTAAGAAACTCAGATGGTGACTCACCTTCTTTATGACCTCTCTGGAGCTCTTTCTCTCCCCTCCTGTAGGGGAAACTTCCTCCAGCAGCAGGGAACTTCCCTTCTATCCTCTCCCCTCATTGCTTAGGACAAAACTTTCTTCTGAGCTGGCTTGGCTCTTTTTTTTTTTTTTTTTTTTAATGGTAGGGTTTTTTTTTTCCCTAAAGAGAAGTACGATTGATATACAATATTGTATTAGTTCCAGGTTACAATATAGTGATTCAACATTTATATACATTACAAAATGCTCACCATGATAAGTGCAGCTACCATCTGTCATCATGTAAAGTGGTGACAATATTATTGATTATGCTCCCTGCACTGTACTTTTCATCTCCATGACTTATTTATTTTTATAACTGGAAGTTTATACCCTCTTAATCCCTTTTACTTCCTCCGTCCACCCCTCCACCCCCTTCCCTTCTGGCAAACCGGTTTATTCTCTGTGTTTCTGAGTCTGTTTCCATTTTGCTTTGTTTGTTCGTTTGCTTTGTTTTTTTATTTTTTTATTTTTTTAAAGATTTTATTTATTTATTTGACAGAGAGAGACACAGTGAGAGAGGGAGCACAAGCAGGGGAGTGGAAGAGGGAGAAGCAGGCTTCCTGCTGAGCAGAGAGCCCGATGCGGGACTCGATCCCAGGACCTTGGGATCATGACCTGAGCCGAAGGCAGACGCTTAACGACTGAGCCACCCAGGCGCCCCTGCTTTGTTTTTTTAGATTCCACCTGTAAATGAAACCATAGGTATTTGTCTCTGTCTGACTTAAATTTGATTTTAGTGCAACACCCACTGGGTATTATCCATGCTGTTGTGGATGGCAAGATTTCATATTATTTCATTATTTCATTATTTCATTATTATCCATGCT